TCTCTTGATAATTGCACTGGCCTATAGTCAAAAGATGTAAAGAACAACATTAATATTGCTGGCGTGCATTTAGATCGCTAGTTCCAAATATTCTAATCCTTTTTTAATATCAGCTATATTTTGCGATTATTTGCAAATTTAGGAACAATTTCGGTAGCTCTAATAGAATAGCCATTATTTTCCATCATCGCGGAAAAATTTTGTTTATGCAAATTAGTATGGAAACACTGAACAGGCACAACTTCTAGACACACTAATTGGTTTACTTATGTTTAGGCATACAATATAAAAATTGCAAATATAAGAAAATGATAAAAAAATTTGTTCACGATTTTTTTTATTTTAAAATAATTTGTTTATAATCTGAACTAGTTTAGTCATATTATTATAAAAAATCAGTAACATTAAGTCTCGCCTTCAATTTGTTAATTATTATGCACCGATCGAGTAAAATTTACCAAAGTTATATCGAAAAACTTAAGTGGATTTCCAGTTTTTCCTAAAAAAAATTTCTCTTTAATTGTATAAATAACCTTTAAATAAAAGAACCGGATTACAGAAAACTGTGCCAGCGAGTGACTTTTTTCGTTCAAGCTGAATGCAAAGCAATATCGTCCAATTGGGGAGTCCTCAAAAGGATTCCCCATTTGCATACTTACAGACACTTTTTCACATAATGGAATTAACTAAAATATTTATGTATATCTAAACACTTATTGCATGTCCCCTACTTTCATATAACGGCAAATTTAGAAACCGCGAAAAATGTGCTTCTGCGGCGACTAATGAAACCATTCCGCACCAGTTTTCAAGACTGCAAAAATGGACTTAAAATGGGCGTTTCTCACCCTAATTGTAATGTATGTAAATACTTATATGTTTGACACTACTATTAACTTGTCGAACGATTCCTAATCTTTGACAATACATTCATTCACCACGATCTTGAAAACTGACCAAATCGGCGTGACCAAGTCCATGGTCATTTTAATATTATATAAACATTAAAAGGTTTCAAATAAATCTCGTCTCACTTTTTTGTATTTTTCACTTGGTTGCTGAAGTAATGAAGAATTGAAAATTCATAAGGGAAAATCATAGTTTTGTTATTTTTTATTTTAATATCTTAAAAACGTGTAGACTTATTGAAAAATGATAAATGAACGTGAGGTCCTAAATTTAATAGCCCTTAATTTGATATATCGTCCTGTTTATAACAATAACGCATTCCATAGATATTACAAGCCAAAGTTTCATTTTCAAAATTCATATACTTTGATTCAATTGCGCGGGCTAAAGATAAGTTTTAAATTAATCTTTCGTGGCCAATAACAATTGGCTGAGACCTAAGACATTATAATATTACTATTACAATGCGGTCAAATGACTTTTATTTTCCCCCATACAAAATCGACCCAACCTATTATATACCCTTCACACTTACTCAGTAGTGTATACGAAAAAACTGGTCTCAAGTAAGCGATTTTTTTTGCGTCAAATGTAGAGAAATGATATCAAGGCGAATTTATACAAGGTGGTGTTGTAAAATCAGCTGATTTATTCGCCTTACATGTATTTTGGTTTTGCTTTTACTGATTTGACAGCACACCCATCAAAAGCAAAAACAAAATACATGTAAACTTTGGAGCGAATTGAGATTTGACATAACACCTTCCATACAAAATACATGTGGTTATCGTTGTTGTAATGTAAATTCGCCTTGAATGAAATCAAATAAGCTTATGCGTCCAAGGCGAATTTATACAAGATGGTGTTACTGGCGAATTGGGATTTTCGCCGCGGTACTTCTGAATGTCAAAAACAAGGCGTATTTAACAAGGTGGTGTTGGCCGTATATAAGTAGAAAATTACACTAACAAATTATGCACTGATGTCCATACTGTCATTGGTATTAGTTACAACAAACA